CAATAAATGTAACAGCAATCAGAAATAGCAATTTCATGTTATTCCAACTAACAGGGGTGAGCTGTATGCATTCTATACTGGAACCATTTGTAATAATATCCCACAGCTTAATTGCAGCTACATGTCTGCATTAAAGCTCTTTCACTTCATTTCCTGTATTGATAATTGGATTCTATGTGGTTGTCCTGGTAACATTACCACAGTAATGGTAGCAACCATCCTGGAACAGGAACTGAACTGGCCTTTTTTCTTTTAAATAAACCAACAATGTATAGTGAAAAAAATATCAAGGGTGGCAACATTTTATCCCAAAGAAATGGTTAAATGTTGGTATGAATGCAGTTTCACATACGAGTCCTATCTTTGTTCCAGGCGTGGCAGGAGAGTGGCTCAAGCCCAAAGCTATGGAGCAACATGTCTGAGCAGGACCAGGAGAGGCTGTTGGAATGTGGCTGTTTTTCAGATGTGCTGCTGAAGAAAAAAAATTACTGTTCAGTTTAAGAAAAAATATTTTTAAAAACAAACAAAAAGCCTCTTTATTTGGAAGAACATGACTCAAGAAGCAAAACGCTTTATTGTACACATTTAAAAGATATATCCCATCTTTTAGTCCAACATCCAAGTGCAGTTTATTTTGTTGATTTCACTGGCAGACTTCTTCACCTATGGCCTTAAGATAAGCTTATCTTTATATCACATAGTGTTCATACAAAGAGAAATGTGATGTAAATGCGTCTGTTGCTCAATGCTGTAGTTCAAGTGGTAAGAACTGTTAAATCACAGAGATAAATTCTACATGTTTCCAATAATGTTTACGATGTTATCTGACAGCCTGAAATGTTCTATGTTTAGGAAGATACTAAATATCTGGTCCAAGTACCCTTTTGCTAGGTTTTTCATAACCTAAGCAAACAATGTTATTGTGTCAGAATACTCCAAATAGGTTTCAGATGGAATTATACTTTAACTTTGCCATATTCAGTAATTGGAAAGCATAAAACAAAAGGTCTCCTGGTATTCCTGCTTAAAACAATGAAAAGTAATACTTTGTTTACCTTTACTGTGTAAGGTCTTCACTTGAATTAGTGGTGAGGGTGAAGAAAAGCTGAGCGGTATTCGTGGACTCTGGACAGTCTACACGAATGAAGCAGTCTGGCTGCAGTGAAGGAAATGGCTGTGATGTAACTGGAAGGAGTGGAATAAGGGTGGGTGTGTTTGCTAATAGCAGTTGAGCAAGCACCTCATCTGTAAAGGATACAGCTTTGTTATGGAGGACCACAACTGTCATAATTAAAAATAAAAGCAGAAATACATTTTGTTTTTCCTTTTCCTAATTCATGCGTTTGTTGTTTTAAATGTTCTTGTCTCTGTTGGGATTCCAGGTTGTTGAGTTGTTTTGGTAGTTTGATTTCATTCTAGTTTTAGTATTTTGTGTTACTTTCCTATTTTAGTGATATCTGTCTTGTTCCTCTTTTCCTTTAGTTCATTCTTCTGGGTGTTTCTAGTTTTGTTTATTTGTTATAGTTATTGTTTGTTGCTCCAATTTTTGTGTCGTTAGTGTAACTATTCTTTAGTGTTAATTTATTTCCTCTTCTCTTTTGTACTCTTCCTTACTCCGTGTGCCACTTTCTCTTTTCCTATTGTCAATCTGCCTCCTGCTTCCATCATCACTCTCACCTGCAACTTTTCTCATCAGCCTAGGTCCTTTGTCTCAGTGTTCTACCTCTCAGTAAATAAGCTTTTCTTTCTCACTCACTACTCCCTGGATCATCTCGTCACCTTTTTCGTCCGTTCCCTGTCATCGTCCCCCTCACCACCAGGTTTCATGGTTCTGCTCCTTGTTACCCTTTTGGATTGTGCTGTAACTTAGTGATGGGTAAATGAAGCCTCATGAAGCAATGAAGCTTTCCAGCCCTTTGCTTTGCAAAAAGGTTCATTACTCGATGCTTCATTCATCACTCACTAGTGACATCTGCTGGTGAAACTGTAACAGCCTTGTCACCCAGGTGGATCATACTTTCAAAAAATACGAAATGCAATATTGTCACAAAGTTTTCATCAAACTCATGTTTAGTAAGAGGAGAATCAATTAAATCATATTTAATTGTCATACATTTTAATTATTAAAATTATTTGTCGCCAATCTAATCCTGGTATATGTTGAACATCAGTGGTTGTGTTGGGGTTTCTTTTATGTCATAGATGGATTTGACAATAAAGACAATTGATGTTTTAATGTCTTGAGAGTGCAGTGTCTGTTGGGGCGTTCACTTTTTCTTGGATTTCTAATTGGCTCTGATTCCTCATATTTGGCTACATGTTGAATTTTAGTTCTGCAACAAGATTAAATCTGTTTCTGCTGTGCAAGACTGATATATCTTTGCTAATCAGACTACAAATAATAGTGGAACTTTGCAGAAGGTGAGAAATTGGGAGGTGGAGGGTTAATTATTTTTATTTAAGAAGAATTTTATTGTGCGTGATCATCTCTAGTATTCCCAGATGTCAGAGATTTTCTTATTGCTGGCTCCATTTCAGACAATCAATCAAGTTTATTTGTGTAGCACATTTCAACAACAATGCAGTTCAAAGAGATTTACATCATAAAATCACAAAAATATAGTTATAAAAAAACAACATAATCTACAATTGAGAAAACCAGTAACAAACATTTTGATGAGTGCCATCAATACACATCAAATATGTTGGTCAATGTTCATTTTATTTGGCCACTGAAGACAAATATCATCCTCTGCTGCGTGACCAAATGGACAACAACCCATGACACAGCAAGGGTCATCGCGCTTTTATTTTGAAAACCGACACGCAAAATGAAGCAGTCACGTGACCCATGCAATGTGAGGCCTCGTTTGTTGCCAGCCACGTGGTTTTCAGCAAGACGACACAGGCCTTGAAGCGGGGCTTCATCGGACACGTCCCCTTTTTACCCGGTACACGCCTCAAAGCCTGGCTTCAGATGGCCCATCACTACTGTAAGTTTGTTAATCTTTTCATTAAAATTCACAGGAGAAATTCAACTCTACTTTACATACCTGCTGTTTTTGGGTCCACTCAACAAACACTAAACACAACAGCAGGATCTGCTGCTGTCATTACTCAGAGTCAACATGACTCTTGATTTCATTTTAATTTCTCAACCACAGCAAAGTCTCCATTCTGGTGTCCTGAGAACACAACCCTCTTTTCTGCATACTGTGCCATGGTCAGTCATGAAGACAAATGGTGAGTTTAAAAATGTCCCACATCATGCTTACTGCCTAATTCAATGTTATAGAGCAAAGATGAAATTACAAAGCTAAATATTGATCATATTGTAAAAGAAACATGATTTTTGTTGTCACAGGACAGCCTCCTACTAAACAAAGTAATTTCAATACACAATCCATCATCATCCATTTTCTGTACACCCTTGTCCCTTAGTTAGGTCGGGAGGGGTGCTGGTGCCTATCTCCAGCTAATGCTCTGGGTGAGAGGCGGGGTACATCCTGGACAGGTTGCCAGTCTGTTGCAGGGCAACACAAAGACAGACAGGACACACAACCATGCACACACTCACACCTAGGGACAATTTAGAGAGACCATTTAACCTGACAGTCATGTTTTTGGACTGTGGGAGGAAACCAGAGAACCTGGAGAGAACCCATGGATGCACAAGGAGAACATGCAAACTCCATGTAGAAAGACCCCAGGCCAGGAATCGAACCCAGAACCTTCTTGCTAGGCAACGCTCAGTTTTGTCAATGTGAAATTCATTCTTATGTTGATGTTTGGATATTTTCTTTGGGACAAACTGGTTGCCATCAAGGTAACAGCTCTACTAACTGCACCACTGTGCAGCCCCAATCTATCATCAGTTCATGTATATTTAATTCATTTAAGTTACATTCTGTCTACAGTTGTAGTTTTCTTGAAGCATAGCTTTTTTCCAAGTATATACATTACTTTAGATCAACTCCTTTAATTTCCTGGCCATTTTTTTTAGATGATGATGGTGTCCACAGAATTTTCAGAGCCATATTCTGTCTTTCTCTTTTCCCTAAAAGGCTTCAGTTTAAGAATGACTAATAACTGTATTTTGTCTTGATGTATTTTTTGTTGTTAGAGTGTGTGTCTACTTACACCACCTTCAAACGTCAACAATGTCAGCAACAATAACATCTCAGCACCACGTTCTTGAATTTCAGGTCCAAATCAGACTCATCAGTGCCGGACCACACAGCTATTGCATGCTACATAGAGACTGCTGTTTTATGATCTACAACCCCAGTCTGTCTTCAACGAAACCTCCATCACCTAACACCCTTGGCTAATCCAGACTCCATCTCCATACTGTCACATCACTGAAATCGTCATTGATGAATGATTGAGACACTTCACTTCCTGCCAGGAAACCCAGGTATTGACAAAGCAGAAAAAGGTTATTACATTTACAAGTATGTATTTTGGTTTGCTTAAGAACTATTAATATATATTTGAGAACTTAATAAAGATTTAGCTGCGACGGACTGGCGACCTGTCCAGGGTGTACCCTGCCCCTCACCCAAAATGTCTTGCTGGAATAGACACCAGCACCCCTCCCGACCTCACTAAGGACAAGGGTGTAAGAAAATCGATGGATAGATGGATAAAGGTTTAGCTCCTTTAGCCAGCAGACATAGTTTAAGTTTTAATTTAACTTTGTACGTTGTTTGCGACATTGTCTCTGTGCAGGTATTGCAGTCTTGAGTCAATCACCTTTCTGAGGTCTTCATAATCTGGAAAGAAAAAAAAAATTGTAAAAGACCCTGACTACTAACAGCAGGGTCTTAGACTTCATGGTGGCCCTTTGTAAGGTATTTGATGATAACACGAACACATAAGCCTCGATTTTTAGTTTTCTAAGCTTTATTATTAATTTAAATTAGTTTACCCTGTGGAAGCCAGCAGAAAAATACAAAAAAGTAATTTGAGTCTTGATTTATTCTCAATGTCTTACAACCGTTGGCATCTTCTCACCTCACTTTCTCCCCTTCATAATAAAAGCATATATTCGGGTGTGAAATATATACATTGTATCCGCCACACGGGCACCCCCTGAACACACAGAATGTCACAAATCCAAAAACACACAAAGGAAAAACTAAGCAGCAGCAACAAACAAAACAATTGAAATACCTAACGGTAACGGCTAGGGAGCTTAATTAGTCGACCACCACAGCTTCTTTTCACAGGAAAAGGGGTTGAAATTGAAAGAGACTCCAGATCGATTGCTAATGAACTGTCCCCCTGAGGGGGACAAACCAGCTGTAAGGGAAGGACCCAGAAGAGTGGGTAAAGAAACTGGGGGACGACCACGGCAAGGTGGATGAGCCAACTCAACTGGGTCCCCTGGTAACACATGAGCAGGCTTCAAACAGTCCACCGAAATACTCTCCTGATTACCCCTCAACTCCACCAAAAAAATCCTTCAGTCCCCTCTCCAAAACTCGGAATGGACCATCGTAAGGAGGCTGAAGTGGTGAGCGGTGTGAGTCACGGCGGATAAATACATACTCGGCAGACATTAGGTCCTTTGGCACAAACACCTGTGGAAGGCAGTGATGTGCTGCCAACGGGGCAAAAGATCTAGATTCACCATTTAGAACCTTTCTACTCCCCTGGGAATCAACCAAACCCGCTGGACCCGGAAGAAATTCCCCTGGTACCCTCAAGGGCTGAACCAGGACCAACTCAGCTTAAGAAAACAGCAGGTCTCTGTTACTGCGATACGTAACAGCGTCCGCCATATTGAATGTGGCCTATGCGCCAGTAAGATAATACAGGTAAATGGATCGAACTTCAGAAATTGCCGTTCTACAAAGTATTTTAAATTAATACCTGTCATTGACACATTTTCTCACACACATTAATATTTTTGGCAATCAAAGAAATGACT